ATGCGATCCAACGATACCTTCCAGATGATCACCGAAGACCTCATGAACGATTTGACACGAGTGAACGATGTGATGCAACAACCATTATCCAAGCGACCACGAGTCGGCAAAGGCTCCGAACAACCCTACAAAGGCAAGGGCAAAGGATACCAACAGAAATGGTCCCCGCCTGGACAAGGACGTCGATACCGACAATTCTGGAACACTACGACGACCCAGTGGCGATCCTGGCAACCGACGACACAACCATGGAGCCCCCCTTCTCTTCCGACCTGGCCGACCACATCGATGCCTTCCTGGACCCCATCAACACCATCCACCTTTAATACACCGACACCCGCCCCGACCATTCCCTTCAACCCTGCTCCACAAGTATCACAACGACCCCCCTGGAACACGAAGGGAGAGAAAGGCACGAAAGGCGCCGGCAAGAAAGGCAAAGCCGGCAAGTCTGGGAAGAAATAGGGACAGCACGGCCCAGAGTCCATGGGCTCTGGAGCCGACCATCGAATGACAGACCCACACGACAGGATTTGCACACTTTGCCATGAGCTGGTGGGCGCCTTGCCGGTAGTTCACCTGTCCTTCTTCGATGGTATCGGGATCGCCTCCGAAGCACTCCGACGCATCAACGAGAACGTCATCCTCACCCTGGCGTGGGAGATCGACGCCGATTGTGCTAGTTTCACATCGAAAGTATTCCAATCCGTACACCTGGGAGACGTCGGACAGTTCGACATCGAGATTGTCGCAAGACACATCGAGAATGCAACGAACAACCGAAAGTACATCATGGTGATCACGGCAGGTCCTCCGTGCCCGGATTTCTCCGGCCTACGAAGCCAACCCAAAGGATCCGACGGCACCTCAGGATGGCTGTTCAGACACATGGTCAGCATCGAACATCAAATTCGACAACGATTCACGGGCGTCCCGATCGAGACGATCTTCGAGAATGTGGTACCCCACCCCGATGTACGAGACAACGTCGTGGAACTCACATCTCCGATGAGCATGGACCCGATCATCATCGACGCCGCAGACTCCGGAGTTATGCACCGCAAGAGACTGTGGTGGACATCGATCCCATGGGACATCGTCGAAGAGAGACTACCTCGGCTCACACCCTGGTCCCTCGAATGGCAAATAGATGGAGAATGGCATCGACTACACAACCCGATTGGCACCGACTTACAACCCCAGATTTCCGCAAAAGGTTTTTCCTTACCACCGTGTCTACACAACGACAAGAAACTGTTTCACTGCCTGACCACACCATCCACGTCGACGTTCGGACGAGAACCTCCGAGACAACTCCGAGACCGCACGACTTCACAAGACGCATGGAATCGATGGGAACAAGATCAGCGACGTTACCCGGTTTGGCAGTACGAAGAACAATTCGTCGTCACTTTGCAGGACGGATCATGGACGACGGCTCCTTCATCTTTGCGCGAACAACTACAAGGCTTACCACTGGACTATACGGCGACACTCGGAAATGGCGATGAGACAAAACGTTGCACTGCTCTGGGCAACGCGTGGCACCTGCCTACGGCGATTTGGGTCATCTTCCTGCTCCTACTGGGGACTGTCGATGCATCCATCCCGGAGACACCTCGAGTGTCCCCATTACAACAGATCACCTCCTTTTGGTTGCAGTCTAAGGTACCCTTTGGTCCACCACCCCGAACACCGAATCACGACTACATGCCACAGTTCTCCTGGACGGATCACCTCGAATGGGCACTACACAGAGACACACACTTATCACCCAAGAGACTCGATCCCATACTTGAGTGGTGTCTACAACACCGACATATTTTCCATCCACTCCTGGATTTCCAGAAGGCCGTCATCGCCGACATTCGTGAACTCGTCGAAGACATGGAAGAACACACGATGGCCTGGTTCAACACTCTTCCAGAACATGTACAACGAGCATATCGTCACAAGAACTCGGTAACACAAATACCTGTCCTCGTCCACCTTCTTCGAATGATACAATACCCACAGACCGAGCTGATCTACCGCGAGCTCTCCGAAGGCTTCCCCCTTATGGGGAAGTTGACTCCAGGCATCAACTGGCACGTGCGACAAGACAAGAAATACCTCGAGCCCACTCCCATTGAAGAGTTTCGCGAGCAATCGACAGTACATCAAAGAGAAGATCGACAAAAACTCCGTTGACGATCACTGGGAACTCATGCTCGACGAAATCTTAGCGGAGGTCGACCTCGGACGAATGAATGGACCGTTCGAGGCACCGGATTGGTGGCCCCGGACGGCGATCGTCCCGACCAAGGGACGACACCGAAAATTATTACCATTGCCTCACTCCGACCCGTGCATTGCCATGGCTTTCAGCATCGAACAGACGGGCAGCGACGGCAACAATAAAGTTCGACGAGGAGAAGATTGGCGACGAAGCGGACACAACGCGACGTGCACGATGCACGACCAACCATACCATCACACACCCGATCACTTCATATCCCTGGGACTCGCGACAATCCGACAGGATCGACTTAAACCCCTCTCAGTCTGGGGACATGACCACGATGGAGCTTATCGACAACTTCCACTACGAGATCCTCGCGAAGCATACGTGATGCTACTCACACCAGACGGCCCGACACTGTGGAGCCACAACGTCCTGCTCTTTGGTTCGGCAGCCAGTGTCTGGTCGTATAACCGTTTTGGGGACATTCTGGTCGAGTGCAGTCGCACGATGATCCTGTCACCGGCGATGCACTACGTCGACGACTATGGATCCATGGAAGACTCCGATCTTGCCGAGGGCAGCTTTGAATCCTTCGAGGAGTACAATGGTTGTCTCCAAATCTCGATGAAACCCAGCAAGAGACAACCACCTCAAACCGCACATCGGATCCAAGGTGTCATCATCTCCTCCGACAACGACAACTTGGTGTTGACTCCGTGTCCCAAACGCGTCGAGAACATGTGTAAGCAGATCGACGTGCACCTGGAGACCTCGTCATTGTCACCCGAACAAGCCAGGAAAATGGCTGGGAAGTGCAACTTCCTCACAGGCCGACTCTTCGGTAAGGTAGGCCGCGCGGCCCTGAAAGCATTATATGCCCGCGCCCATTCGTACTCACACGCTCTCGACAAACCTACCCGATCGTCACTACTTTCACTCAAGGACATCATACAACATTGTCGCCCGATGACGATACCACGACAGATGACTCGAACTACATACAGTGTCATCTACACGGATGCCTACTTCCGCCTGGGCGACCACACCTACAGGCCGGGGGACGACGACATCCCGAATTGGGACTCGAAGTCGACATCCGACATCGAGAACGGATGGGCTGCAGTTTGCTTCCACCACGGTGATGTGCAAATCGCAGCTTACTTCCAGGGTCGTCTCCCCTCACTACTCGTACGACAATTTTCCTCCGACCAGGCTTTCATTTACCTCCTCGAAGCTTGGGTCGCCATTTTGGCTCCACTGGTCTTCGAGCCATGGCTCGACAAGTTCTACGTCCAGTGCTGCGACAACGAAGCTTCTCGACACGCCCTACTCAAAGGCGTCGCCAAACATCAGCCCCTGAATTGCCTCATTGCAGCACACTGGACTTGGCATAATCGACGAAGTCTTGCACACCGACTCGAACGTGTTCCCACCAAAGCCAACATCTCCGACGGGATCAGCCGCTTCGAACATGTACCAGAGTCTTCGACTTGGACTAAACTCGACTTACCTGTACACGCTTTGACCAGTAGGGCTGCGAAGATTATAGGAGATATTCATTTTGCTTCTTCTACGGGTTTTTCCGAACTACCCGAAATTCGCAGATTGCACGATCAGTTGACTACGATGCTAGTTTGATCATATTTCGAGTGGCGTTCGCCTGCGATGGGAGGACGCGACCACCTTCGATGGGAACCAGTCGGTCCTCCCAACAGAAAGAACTCCGTCACATCGATCTGTAAGATCGATGACTGCGATCTGTAAGATCGACTACGATCTGTAAGATCGAAACGCAGACATGACGCCACCGAAGCGGAAGCAGTTGGAAAAACTGCTCCGCATTTGCCAGGGATTCATGGCCTTTGTGTGAGATCTCCGTTGTCGTGTAGCACACACTTGTTTGTGCGAAGTGACAACATATTATCTCACTTGATCACCGAATCGGTCAGGGGATTAACTCACCGATTCAATTCGAACGATTGTATATTCCGTGGCCATTTTGGCGAAAAGCTGTTCCAGCTTGAGAAAAAAAATTGTTTCACCCACCCGTCCCGACCCTCATTGGACTACTATATTTTCCTCTGCTTCCTGTCTGCGAGTACCGCCTGGGAACCAGTCGGTCCTCCCAACAGAAAGAACTCTGTCACATCGATCTGTAAGATCGATGACTGCGATCTGTAAGATCGACTACGATCTGTAAGATCGAAATGCAGACATGACGCCACCGAAGCGGAAGCAGTTGGAAAAACTGCTCCGCATTTGCCAGGGAGTCATGGCCTTTGTGTGAGATCTCCGTTGTCATATATATATATATATATATGAGAGATTCGATGCAATACAGGCCCTTGCGTTGGCCCTTGTTTTGTCACTAGTTGGCATTGTGCAGCTGGTTGTAAGGAGATGTTTGTTACCAGGACCCGAGCTACTGTTATCTCATTTCCACCGCAAGCAGCACTGACCGTTTTAATCGTCTGCATGTGGTTTCCGTGGCTTGGGACGGGATATTGCGATTGGCGAAGATGAGGATGTGGAGTTATTCTTGAAATGCATGGCTTCGCAGTAGCTCGTCCTGCAACAAGGTGGCCGAATTCGGCTGAATAAATGTGTTTTCCCTCGTTCCAGAACCGTTTACGAAAGTTACAAGAACAGTGCAAGTGAGACGTTTCACTGCCAAAACGTCCTGCCCTTAACCTGTTTTGCACGTCACGTCTGCGCACAATTTCGGGCAATACATTTCTCGACAGTGATAATTTCTAGGTGTCTTGGCATTGCTAAGGTCACCGGAGTCAGACAACATCGCAAGTTCCTGGTTTGTTTGTTTTGTGCTTGTCCACTACCCAGATGCCAGTTTTAACAGCGGTAAACAGTTTTCCTTTCCAGCGTCGGCTTAGGTATTGTGCGGCGGTGGATGTCTCCTCAACAAAAGTCGTCGTGCTTCCAAGGCACATGTTTTTGAAGAGCTCGATTGATGTGCGAGCCTGATGCAGCCAGGGGCACCAGGATGTCCGTGAGGCGGGCGGGTGGTTAGGGCTGCCACGATAAGCAAAGCCTGTGTGTGTGAGAGAGGTGCGAGCATGGTTTGGTGAGGTTGCCCATGCACACGACAAACCACACAATGTAGCACGTCAAATCAGTGAGATTGAGATGCACGCACTCGGCATGGACAGTGGGTGCCTTCCAACATGGTCATGCAGCGCAAGCAGAAAGGCAGGGAGCTGTCGAAGTGGTCCCGTTGTTTTAAACATATCTTCCAAACTTGCATAGCCTTGACGGGAGATGCTGGAAGAGGGTAAGGGCAACCTGAAGGGCGCGACTGTCGGCACTGGTCCCGGGTGTTGTGCGCACAACAGGCAATTAGTGCATGTCACAAAATCAGGCCACGTTCAGCCTTGAATCCTTGAGAAGATCCAGCAAAGCAGTCGCAAGGATCTTTGCACGCCGACGCAGTATTATTTCATCATAGAAAAGGAGCAGCGTCCATCGGTTAGAAGAACTTCAGGTCTGGCTTTGTTTTCCTGTGTGTGAGCGGTGTTCTTAGCTCAGGCGTGCATGTCATCACGTGCGCTCGCCGGTTTGCAGCTCAACTGATCACAGCCGTCGCTACCGAAGTGACTAACAGCTACGTTCAGCAGACGATTGGACGTTCAATTGCCATGTGTAGTCACGCATACTCATGTCAGTGCTGGGCCATCAGCACAAACGTTGTTTGCAACGGGGAAGCCTGAATGCTTCTGTCGGCCTCGGCGTTGATTTTGTTGCAGTGGCTTCGCGTTGTGTTGGTACAGGCGGATTTCGACAGGATCGAGATCCAGATGGCGTACGAACTTCACGAGGACTCCCGTATGTATACCTATATATCTTGAATGTCTATGCGCAGACGATGTGTTCATAAGTCAATGACTCTGCAGGAAGGAGCAGCGAGCCTTCTGGCCCAGCAAAGCTATGTTCCTCCCAATGTCTGACATGCCAAGCTCAGTCTGCTCAGTGGAAGAAACGGTCCATCCGTTGCATGTGTATTCGGTCACAGTTGAAGGCTCTCGTGTGACTTCTTTGGATGCCCTGTTCGCAGCTTCCACCTTTGGGTGTTCTTGGTTGTGCCTTGGGCTTGGGGTTGGTTAGAACTCGAGAAAGTAGTGGAGCCGGAAGAAGTCACAGGCGAGCAGAGATGTTTTGCGATTGCTGACGGCCATGGCGAGTAAGCCTACAGGGACAGCAGGTAATCGCAATGTCGGGTATCCCGACGGGTGTGCTTGCAGCTGTGTTGCGATCCATGTCATAGATCCGGTTCGTTCATGATATGTCATTTGCACTTGTCCAGACAATTACAAGTGATCCTTGGCAATCAGGAAGCCAGCAATCAAGCCCTAAGCCAGTGACAGTGACGACCAACCAGAAGAACAACGTTGGTCTTCTCGCGAGTATGGCCAGCGTGGAGCGGGCACTAAGAATCACTCGAGCCTCCCGCGAGTCTTCGCAGAGGCCCGAATGGTACACGTGGCATGGTCGGTGAGCTTCGTCAGTGTCATCATGAATTTGTCCAGAGCTCATGAGTTCATGCAGTTTAACTTCTTAAGTGCACACTGCTACCACTGCCATTCAAAGCAGACAAAGAATTGTCATCCGGCAGGGATCGACTGTCGACCATGTGCTGATATGGAGAAGCCCGGGAGAATGTTGGACGAGACGCTCGGTCTTAACTGTACCGCTCTCGCGTTGGTGAACCGCCAAATCTCACGAAGAGCAGACGTACAGTCAGGGAAGGAGATAGAGAGAGAGAGAGAGAGATACTCGCCCCTTATGCCCTGCAGAAGAAGAAACAGACAGAATGATAGTGACGAGAAATCGCGCGAGGGGCTTCGCGACTGTGGGACCCCTCTATCTGTGCTCAAGAAGAATGATAGTGACGAGGCTGGCTGTTGCTTCTCAAACAAGCTGCCTGGGGGGAGACGAGGGGGCTAGACCCTTAGACTTCGAGGCAGGTTGTGGTTTCATAGTGTTACCGGGTTTGTGGTGAGGAAGCCGATGAGTCTACCCGAGCGCAGCCAACAGTCCCCTCAGCACGCTAATTCCCCGGTGCACGAGACCGCGCGGGGAGCCGATCGTGAATGACGTCCCCCTGGCCGTGCTGAAGAAGACAGAGAGACAGAGAGAGAGAGAGAGAGAAGCCGCAAAGCGTAACCTATATAGCATAGCATATCGCCCTAAACTTAGTGCGTGTCGCCAACAGACAGGCGTCCCCCACCGGGGGTGCGCCCTCAAGCCTGGTGAAAGAGACAGCGAGTAGCGACCGAAAGCCCAATTCAATTGCACCAGTCGCCATCCTGCGACTTATGTTACCGACCGCCACAATAATTCAACGCTTTCGCCGACCGTGTCCATACTAGAAGAAATAATTCAACCGGCTTTTCTTTACAACATGGGGGGGGGGAACCCGCTGTCTTCGTTACCTGCACGTTTGCTTGTTTTTCGCTGTTGCTTTCTACTGACTAGGCGGGGGACCCGAAATAGCTAACTAAGATGGCCGAAGGGGGGAACGAACCGTACTGTGATACGCTGTCTGCGCACTGGTACCCCGCACTCCCTGAACGTCCCGTGCTTAGCCGTGTTGCTGCATAGGGGGAGTGTCTACCGGCCACGGTGGTTCTGCGTGGGGGGAGTACTTGGCTGGCGAGGGACTAAGGACTGAGCTTAAGAGAGCGCGGGGACGAGGCCGGGACGCGCGTTAGTGTAAAGGGAGGGATGGGTTCCTTGCCAGCCGTACTTCACCGGCCGCACCTTCCACCAGGACAAAGTTTCCCGACCACTGAAGACCCCAAAGCCTCTTCCACCGCCTAAACGGGGAAGGGGGGGCCTGGGCCCAGGTTCGCGCGCGAACCTAACCCGTGAGAAGCGAAGCGAAGCGAAGAGAGAGAGAGAGAGAGAGAGAGAGAGAGAGAGAGAGAGAGAGAGAGAGAGAGAGAGAGTGTGCCACCGAAGTCGTTCATGCTTACGCTCGCAGATGGTGGGAGTACGCTTATGCAGTCCAGGGCACAGTGGAGGAACTTCTGACAGATATCCCTGTGTGTTGTGGAGATGTGGGAGTGACCGGGATGACTGCAACGAGCCGCCAAGCTCGAGGCCCTGCACCGCAGGTCAAAAAACAAAGTGCAAACAAAGTGTTGACTGGCCGCAAGAGGGGCTCCCTTTGGTTGGCACGTGGCAGTGCAGACATCCGACTTGGCTTGAGTTGGGATGCTTGCTACCATCTCGTTGCATTTTGCTCGCTGGGACCCTGTGGGTGGTGGCAGGACCGTCTCTTTCTGACGTTTTTTGTCGACGAAGGTGCGTCAAAAGCAACCTTGACTGAAATGAGCAGGGCAGTGGCGGTCTTGCCACAAGCAGGATGAACCTCGATACTTGCACCGGCACTAAGCGAGGGAGTTCCAACCGATCGCTTGAAGGTGTGCCACGACACAGCAGGCAGTTGCGGAGGGTTGCGACGACACCATGTTTTTTTTTGCGAAACTTGCACCGTCTGGAGCCAAGCATCACGGCCATTTGCTGCATCGTGATTGGTCCAGCCAAACCAACTTATAGAATCGGCGACAGGGAGCAGAGAGAAGAGAGTGTGAAATGGAAGCGAAACAGCAGGAGCGGAGAAAGAACAAAGGAATATTTAGAAAGAGCGAGTCATTGAAGAGAGCCGCGGCAGAGAAGCAGAGCTTGCGTCCATTGCTCGGTCTTCAGGAGCATCTATGGCGTTTTTGCTGAAGCAGGTCGGGATGATCGACGAAAGAAGATTTCGTTGACTAGCAAGACGAGCAAGCCCGTCAGCTTTGTCAAAGGGCAGACTTTGCAGCCGACATCGGTTTCAGCTGCATGCCTGTAACATTTGCTAGTCGGTTTGTCAACTTACTTGCATCGCAAAGAGTTGTAGTGCAGACGAATAGGAAATTTTGTGGATGGTCGTGTGGCTGCGTGGCACGGAGGTCGACTCGTGACAGCTGCATGTTGCATTATCTTCAGCACTCGGCCTGCCCGTCATCCGCTCCGCACCTTTCATGTTTCGCTGCTGCTGCTGCTGCCAATACTACCACGACGACGACGACTACTACTACTACTACTACTACTACTACTACTACTACTACTACTACTACTACTTCTACGAGTACTGCTACTACTGCTACTACTACTGCTACTACTACTACTACAACTAGTACAACTACTACTACTACTACTACTACTACTACTACTACTACTACTCCTACTCCTACTCCTACTCCTACTCCTACTCCTACTGCTACTGCTACTGCTACTGCTACTGCTACTGCTACGACTACGACTACGATTACGATTACGATTACGATTACGATTACGACGACGACGACGACGACGTCCTACTACTACGACGACGACGACTACGACTACGATTACGACGACGACGACGTCCTACTACCACGACGACGACTACGACTACGACGACGACTACGACTACGACTACGACGACGACTACGACGACGATTACTACTACTACTACTACTACTACTACTGCTACTACTACTACTACTACTACTACTACTACTACTACGGCGACGGCGATTACTACCAGTAGTTTCATTTGGCTACGGTCCGATGCTGGCTGCTGATGCCGCTGCAGCATGGTTGACAGGAAGGTTGGTTATGACGATGCGACTTCAGCGTGATTCAAACTAGCTGTCCCACCTTTGACTTTTCCTCACCGAGCCTTCCATAAGTATTCTCCAATTGGCCCTTTCATTCTGCTCGCTGAAGTGTGCACCAGAACAGAGGCAGCAAGAACAGACATGCGAAACTGCAACCTTTAAACTTTAAATCGTTCCTGCCGTCTTTAGCGTTGCCTGGGTGCCAAGGCTAAGCCGGCTGAGGACGCCAGGGTCAAAGCAGCGTCGGACGACGAAGTTGATAGCAGGTTTGTTCTTGATGCCAACGCCCCCAATGCGCAGGGCATCAAGCAAGCTGTCGAAGGACCCAAGCTTCCAGCTCGCAACAAGTTGTCGTTCAATCAGATGGCAAACAATTATGGCAAGGGCTTCTCCATGCTGCAAAAGATGGGCTTCACTGGCGGCGGGCTGGGCAGGCACAATGATGGCATTGCAAATCCGATCGAAGTCCAGAAACGCCAGGGAAAGATGGGTCTGCAGGATGACGGGGAGATGGTGGATCAAGACCTCTATGGCAACGAAGGTGAAGCAGGCCGTCGGTCCTTGGAGGAGCTCCTTGGAACCCAACCGAAACCAAAGCGCGAGCGGGAGTCGGTCAGCGACGGATGGAAACGGGACTGTAAGCCAAAGAAGCCCAAAACAGTTTACAAGACGGCCGATGAGGTGATCAACGAACCTGCTATGCGCATTGTAGACATGCGCGGCCCGGAAGTCAAAGTGGCTTCTTCCTTTGCAGAGCTCGCAGCAAGTCTTTCCGGAGATTCTGTGAAGAGCTTGAAAGAGCTGAGACACAATGCTCGCTTGTTGGTTTCTAGATACGAGGACAAGGTCAGGGCAGGAATGGAGCGAAAGCGCCACTGTGAAAGCGTTCTGTTATCTGTGGCGAAGGAGAAAGATAGGGTTCAGGCTGCTGAAAAGATCAGTGAGACGGAGCTCGCGGGTTGCAAGAAACTTGTTACGGAGATTGAGTCCTTGAGAGAGCGGCAAGATCAAGGGACCCTGAGCTTGCGTGAGCTTGCAGATGCATTCAATCACTTGCGAAGTGAGAAGCCGAAAGAGTTTCGCGTTCTCGAAGCAGCGGACGTTGCCTTTGCGCTCGCGCTTCCGACGGCACGTCGTGAGTTTGCCACCTGGCAGCCCTTGAAACAACCGGTCTCAGATCGAATGGAACGGTTGAAAGCGATTGCCAAATGGCAAGATATGACAAGTGAGAAGACCCAAGAGCGCTTCACAGCATTAATCGAAGCGTCCCTTCTTCCGTGTCTGCGAAAGGCATTGGTAGCATGGTCGCCAAGAGAACCAGAGCGCTGCATCCGATTGATGGAGAGCTGCCGTGCAGTGCTGCAGTCAGATTGTGCAGATTCCCTGATTGCAGAAGTCGTGCTGCCCAGGCTTCGCTCTGAAATTGAAGGTTGGGACCCGAGGCTGGACACGGTATCACCACATCTTTGGCTGCATCCATGGCTACCACTTCTGGGTAGTCAAATGGATATTCTCTGGGCACCGATCCGGTTTAAGATATCCTCTTGTCTAGAGCGCTGGGATTGCTCGGACTCCTCAGCGCACGGTTTCCTGCAGCCATGGCGGCGTGTCTTTGATCCATGCAACTGGGATCCGCTTATTGAAAAGGTCTTGTCCAAGATTGAAAAGGCGATTGCGCAGACTCCTGTGCAGCCCGACGGCCAGAACCTACAGGCGTTGCGGATCCTGTTTTCATGGATGGATCTTGCTCCTCTGGATAACGTTTCCCGAGTTCTGGAGTCTGCGTTTTTTCCGCAGTGGCATGCTGCTCTCCGGCGCTGGCTTCGTGATGCTCAGTGCGAATTCTCGGAGGTGTTACAGTGGTACCAAGGGTGGAAGGCACTGTTCCCTAAAGAACTACTCGAGCAAGCCCGCGTCCAGAAGCACTTTGCGGGTGGACTGGAGGCTTGAGCAAACTCGATTGCATGACCGTATGAGCTGAAGACTGCATGCTGAAGCTTTTTTGCACTGGTCTTGTCAGGTGATGAAGCACATGATGACACATGGAACCTCGGACTTGCCCGAGTCTGAAGAGCAAAGCGCAAAGAAGCATCAGCCGTCTGCGCGCCCGGGCCTACCTGCTGAAGAAATTAGCCTCAGCTTGAGCGACTACATGTCCCAAGTTGCAGCCGAAGAAGGGCTGATCTTCCTTCCAAAGCAGCTTGTCCAAAAAAAGACTTCTGCAGAGTTTTCTGTTGGTACTGCTGGTAGCTGCGATCCACTTAGGAAGCAGCAGCGCAACGGAAAGCAAGTTTATCAACTTGGCACAGCCACCATTCAGCTGGACAAGAACTTGGTCTACGTTGCGCCGACAGCTGGTGAAGGGGAGTGGAAGGCCTTCCGCTCGCTGTGAACTGATCAATCAGTGGCCAGTTTGGTTGGGTGTCCGGTTGAGTATTATGCTTATTCGCACTTATAGGCCTGAAGAAACGAGTGATTGTCTCCATGGTAGGAAGCCGTTTGGCTTTGTGCCAGACCCTGCGCAGCTAGGGTGAAACATTCCATTAGCCGGTGATGTGCCAATTTCGTTTTCCGCGTTATCTGCTGTGCTCTACGTAGGTTTTTGCGGAAGTTTCGCAACAAGACAAGTGTTCACAGATCTGCTCTGCCACTCAGCATTGCCCAGCATGTGCTTCAGGCCGCTTCCATGGATGAAGTTCTCGCGCTTGCGCGGGCGACATCTCGCAGAAAGAAATAAGCAGCCGCTCATACTTGCGATGATGGGACGCTTTCAAAGCTTGGGAAACTGGGGTGTCTCACCTCTGACCCCGGTTAGGAGTCTTTCGCAAGTGCGCCAGGCCATGGAAGGCTCCAAAGCAGACTACGCGAATGTGGCACGAGAAAAGGATGTTTCATGACATGTTATGATTCCTTGTGGGGCAGAAACGCCGTTGCATCTGACGAAAGCCGAGCCAGGGAATCGTAGTTCATCCGATCGCAGCTGTGAAGTTACCTGTCGTAGTTGGGGTTCCGCTGTCATTGTGGTGAACTTGGAGGCTTGGTTTGTCTGATCTGCAGTTAATTTACTCCTGTCTGCTCGGCTTGTTGCTGTGCCGCAGGTGTGATGCGGCAGCAGGCGCCAAGCAAACATGATAAAGCAAACATGATAGACTGCGTCCCGTTCAGCCCAAAGTTGTACACTCCAAGGCATCACCGTGCCATGCCAAATGCAGAAAGGCCAGTTTCTGCACCATCTTCACATGATTCACATGTCACGACATGCTGCTACTCTTAATGCCGGAGAGCCCTATGTCCGTATATAAGTATATACGAGTCACACTTCCTGTAGCCAAGATGCTGTGCATCTCGGCCCCACCCATGGGAAAGGCAGTGAAGACAATGGGCATGATTTATGCAAGCGCTGTGATCGTCTTCCTCGGTGTGGACGGCATGCAGGTTCCTTGCCAGTACAGCCATACACAGCCTTTTTTGAGCTTGTCAGCTGCTTGTCAGGCATGGCTTGGGCAAGGTGGGCCGAGCTTAAGGCTGGGCCAAACCGCAACTTGCTTCTTGCTTGTGCTGATGCTGGTAGTTTCAGCAGCTCGCGGCGCTCGCGTTCCGGAGGCCACATGGGCTGCAACGCAAGGCAGCAGACGGAGGACTGCGTATCCTTCGCTGCAGGCATTGGCTCATGTTTGTGTCTCCACATTTGTTACAGGATACCCGGACATACCGGAGGCCCGGTCTTGCTGCCAGTGCTTTGTCGTGCACACGACAACGCGACAGACTCGAGGATGTCAGGGGTCCTGACGGCATTCAGAGTGGCATGCGATCCAAGCTGATTGAAGAGGTGTGGCACCTGATCCTGTCATTTGCTGTCATAAGTCACAGCGATCTGCACTGCATCTGCAACGAACAACACGTCATGGAGGCCAGGGCCATGGGTGATGAGGACTTCATGTGCCGTCATACTGGGAGGAGTTCTCTATCCCCCAGTAGTGAGCAGTGTAGTGGCTCGTAGAAGTTCGTGCACGCAGCTGCAGATAGCCTCGATCATTTGAAGACCATGTCGGCTTGCGCCATCTTTCGTTGTGTTCGTGTGTCACTTTGGACAGCCGTGCATTTCACGAAAGAAACACCCGAATGCCACACTGTGATGGTGGCCGGTCGTAGCTCATCATACAGGCCGCAGAGCACCAGCATGGCCGGAGGACACCCCAGTGTCTGCTGGCTTCGGCAACCCGTCTGGACCGCGGTGGCGAAACATCATTGGTCTTCCTTTCCCCTATTGAGCATCCAACTTTGAGGTACCTGCTGGTCATCGTGGTCGTCCTTGTGCTCGGAGTCGCCTCGTGATCCCTTAAAAATAGACAGCACCGCCGTGTGGAATTCAAGGAGTTCTGGCATGCTGTTACCCTGTTCCGACATTGGGCAGACAGCACTCCGTGAGCAACCGACCTCCTGGTTGCTGCACATGTCATGCGCTGCTTCGTCGTTGGACTCTTCATGGTCCTGGAATGTCCTGGAGATAGGTTCAGTTGCATCTGCACTGCCATTTTCCCAATTATCTCACATTGATGATGTGACCGCTTCGAATCTTGAGCACGATTTTTCTATCCTCAGAAAGGTACTTCGAGCTTGGGCTTGACAAGGTGAAGACGGTCAACACCACGAACGCCCAAGACAAGGCTTGCCTTTGCCGTTCTGAACTCTCGCCGTGCTTGCTTTTGTCGCACAGAAGGTGCACGACAGAGGTGCATGCCTTTGAAGGAAACCTGCTTCTCTCATCTTTGCAGCCATGCTCCAAACTCTCATGGACCCACGTCTAATCTGTTCTTCTTTAGGGCACAAACCGGGGCTCGAAAGTGTCGGTGCAACCGAGAGAGATCAGGTTGCATTTAGCATGACCGACCCATGGAGGTGCTCCTACGGAATTTGCATTGTCATGTCGACTTCAGCTTCTCGCAAGCGTATGACGGGCACGCAGCATTGCATGCCCAGTCCAGTGGAAACAGGGTTGCTGGATCCCACGAGCAAGGGAGGTACTTCCACCCAGTGACATACCTGTGATCTTTCTCACCAGCTGACCACTGCTTGAATGACCCCTTGTCTGTCGTTGTAGACATGTTGGCGAATGGTCCCGTCGCCCGTCGCCAACATGCAGCAGCAACTGCTTTGTGGCATTCGTGCATGCTGCATGGCTCAAGCTGGTCGCGCTTGCTCTCGCTGCGCGGGCTCCAGGCACGAAATGAAAGCAGATTGTCGTCGTTCTGCCATGTCAGCCGAATCCTTGCTGAACATGGGTGGAGGTGGCATGTCCTCGCAAGAAAAAGAAGGGCCCAGTTTGACGAAGCTGCGAAAGGCACTGTGCAAATGATAATGTCGGCTGTGATATCGAGAGATCAGGTTGCGCTTTCTGCCATCCTTGTTTTGTGATTGTCAGGTGATCAAGGAAGCCTTCAGTTGTTTTGACAAGCAGCAGATGCTTAGAAAGCACGGAAGTCTTTCACATCTCAAACAGTCAAACAGATCGCAGGGACCGTGTGAGAGTCCAGTACTAGTCGCGCACGTCTCAGGAAAAACACCATCGAGCAAGATGAGGTGCCTGCTTGTCAGCATTATGTCACTCCGTCAAGATGCCAAGCAAGTGCTCTTCATGGTTGTTGCAGTCACGTTTGCGTCTGTGTGGATGTGTGTGTGTGTGTATACGGAAGTCTGCTTGGTACTTCACCTGGTTGACGTTTCTTCGGACTGTGTTGTTTTTGGTTGCATAACTCCATGATGCTGTGGGGGGGGCAGAGCAAGGGGTGGGTTAGTTCGCGTTTTCATTATTCTGTCTCCGTTGCAGTTTTTCGGATCCACGTTCTCTTTGCCTGTGCATGTTCGCCAAACTGGATGTATGCAGGGTGTATCAGTGCTTGCGGTTGCAAGTGTCGGCTTGTCAAGAAGCTTTTGCTTGAAGGTCGGACTTGTCAAGTAAATGAACGAAAAGGAAGCCACCGTTGCTGCGAAGCTCAGTAAGACGTACATGATTTCGTTTTACAGACACATTACATGTCGTTTGTTCCTTTCGCGTTTTTTCTTGCAGTCCTGGCTCGGCTCCTTGGTTTTTGGCTCTCTTCCCTTTTTCTGCTTCTCGGCTTGTTTTCTCGGTATTGTGACCGGCTGTGTTCTCGACAGCAGCAGCAACAGCAACAACAACTCCCAAGTCCTGCACTACCAATGCTGGTTGTGCGGTCTGTAGCCTGCCACACCCTGGTCACCCTGACCGGTATAGATCTAAACAAGTACGTGTCTACTGTGAGGAAACAGCAGTGGTCCAGGCAAAATAGATAGGTGTACATATACAGGAACAAGTTTTTCGACATGTTTGTGTGCATCTCTGAAGCAGAGTTTCGATAACGCAAGTTACAGTATATTACTGTATACCAACGAGGGTGAAACTGACTTTAGAGCTGCTGAGCTGGCAACCACTAGAGTCTAGAGAACATAAGCATGACTTGATGGGATAGATGTGAGGTTGGTGTGGTTATGCGATATTTGGGCCAATTTCCCAGCGAGCTGCGGCCTCGGCGGCCTGGGCACTTTGCGATGGTGTCTGGTGTTGGATCGTGCCCAGAGGTCGGATTTGAAAGAGACGATAATACCCGAGTTGCTCGAGGAGGATCCCTCGTTGGGACTTAGAGTTTATGCATTTGTCTTGGCCTTCGCGTACTTCGAACGCTTCGTGGTTTGCTCGCCTTGGTCGGCCGAGGCGAGACGGCTTGGTGTCTTTTGAAGCCTTTGAGCGATTGATGCTGAGGCGCTCGATGTGGTCGTGTCAGCACGGAGCATCTCTCAACGCTGCGACAGGTATCTGAGCGATCACACTTATGATCCTGATGACTCAGAGACTTTACTGGCCGCCTTCAGGGTCTTGCTCTTGGTGTGCTGCGATCTGTTGGCTGATGCCGGATCTCAAGCTCTGCAGTGTGGCATTGACAGGTGTTGGACCCACAGGGGCACGGTTACATCGATTCTAACTTGATGCACGAGTGGCTTTCCACTAAAGGTGGTAAGGCCCGGCATTCCTGGTTGGTGATTAAACGAAACTGATGCGCGTTTGAGCTCGTGCTCTTATCACATGTGGAAGTGCTGAGCCAAAGAGGCGGCAGACTTCTTCAAGGAGCGGGAAACATCCGACTTCCTGGAGTGACCTGCGGGATAGTGGCTGATTGTGCAGACTTTATTGGGGCTTACTTACATCTGGGTGTCGTCAAGTACTTGAAAATCCCAGCAGATCTTAGAATCGTATCGCAACGTTGCCCAACTGCTTCTCCCATCGTTCCCACGAGGAAACACTCTCGTTAGCTCTAGTTCTGTCATGGGCCTTGACCGGGACACTCCCGTTGCAGCATCCTCACCCCGGCCAATTCGGAGGGACGTTATCTTGCCCGCCATCAGGCCAAGGGTGAGTGAGCTGCATGCAAACTACTACCACTACTACTACTACTACTACTACTACTACTACTACTACTACTAAGTTACTACTACTACTACTACTACTACTACTACTACTACTACTACTACTACTACTACTACTACTACTACTACTACGTTACTACTACTACTACTACTACTACTACTACTACTACTACTACTACTACTGCTACTGCTACTGCTACTGCTACTGCTACTGCTACTGCTACTGCTACTGCTACTGCTACTGCTACTGCTACTGCTGCTACTACTACTACTACCACTACTACCACTACTACC